AGGGCAACAAATGTATAGGTGTGCTTTACACAACTGATCTATGTATTGTGATGAATTGTCTGAGCCCCAATAAAATGATTAAATTAAAAATAAATAAATAAACAAAGGAGAAGAGAAAAGAAAAAAACATTTCCCTTTGTAACTCACTCCCACTTTGACTTTTGTTGATGGTTCTTTGAATTTTTTAGGCAAATAAAAAGAAAAATAAACAGATCTCGAGTCAGAAAAGTGGGGGTCTCATTCTTAGCTTCGTCTTGTTCACATTGCTGTTATTCTGAAGCACCCTTTCTTTATTTAAATAGAGTGAGAAGCAAGGTAACAGTAGTGTCTATCTACATTCATATATTGTGGCTATGCACTCTTTGATTTTCAGGTACTTTCCAATTGTTTTCTCTTGTCATATGTTAACCAATTGGCTATGTCTTTTGCACTAAAATATCTTATGTCATGTCTATTTCTTCCCTGGTCTTGCTTTTTGCTGTGCTAAGAGGAGCACTCCTTTCTTAACATTGTGTAAATACTAATTACCTGGCATTTTCTTCTGGAAGATTTACTGTTCTTGCCTTTCATATTTTTAAGGTTAGTAGAATTTATTTTTGTGTATGGTGTGTGGCAGAGAATTCCTATTTCTTCCCAGAAATGGTTAGCTTGTCAAGACCCCATTATGATGCCCATTACCCACTTACTGTAAATGTTACTTTGCTATATATTAAGTCCCTCTATAGGAAAAAATATCCTTTCAAGTAATAGAAGATGAGGATAGAAAAGTGCTTACTGCTACATGGTTTATGATAAAGAAAATGGCAAACTTTGTAATATGCATGAATGAAAGATTGGCCAAATAAAATATGATGAATATCACCCAGTCATGAAAAATAAGATAGTAGATTATTATGTACTTACATGAGAAGTCCACAATACATTGTTAAGCAGAAAACACAAGAAAAAAAATGCTGAAAAGTAGTATTTATATTGTAGAAAAATTAAGTAAAAAGTAAATTCATAAACATATACATGAACATATAAAAACTTCAGGAGAATATTCATTTTAGCAATGTAAAAATATCTTGCATATTGTTGGAATATTTTTATAGACTTACATAATGTTTCCATAATCAGAAAAAAATATAAGATTTACCAGCAATGGCTTCATAGAGGCCGGCTTTATACACTAAATAATCATACTCTTCAAATCTCTGAGGTCCCTCACACAGAGCTCGGCAGTCCATATCTTCAATGAAATATTCCCTTAAAGCTTGTTCAAAGTACTTGATGGCCAGTTCAAAGTCATCTGCCTCATAATGTTTAACTCCTGCACTATAACTCTCCTGCAAAGAAACAGAAAGGAAAAAAACAATGATTTGCCTGTGTGTGCTTTTCCCCCAGCAGCACCCAAAAGACCCCTGAGGACCAGGATAAGCCAGATTTGGGGTCATGAGGCAGTTAGGCAGTTGGCAATGTGGGACACTTGAGCCCCAGGAGGCTGCAGTGGAAGATGAAGTGTAGCTTCTCCTATTTCAACTCACTGAGATCCCCAAGAGGAGAGCTTTGTGACCCGTTTCGTTCAGAGCTCAAGCTGAGACTGTCATTTCCCTGTAACGTCTATCCCTTTGCGCCGAAGTACGACTAGGACAAGCAACCACTGGTGGATGCGCACGGAAGTAACATCCATCTCCAATGATAATAATAAATCTCCCACCTAATAATAAGTAATCACCGGGAAGTTCTCCTATAAAACCTTCCTCTCACATCAGTTTCTGCAGTGAACTCGGACAGGATGAGGCCCTTCACACACAGAGGAGGGTGAGGCCCCAAGATGAAAAATAATTCCTCGCGACACACTTGACTCGTGGTTCCATGTAGACAAATAATTATAATGGCTTTCACAAAGTCAGTGTGAGAAGCACAGCGGGAGCCGGCGGTCCTGCACATCCAGCCTGGTGCGAGATGACCCGGACCACGGACACTGGCCTCAGCTCCCTGTAGGAATGAAAGTGTTGAAGGGAGGAGACCTGAGACTCAGGGAGGCTGACTTACAGCTATATTGTGGTTTACTCTGCACCCTAGTATACTGCCTTGCTAAGTTATTTTTATATGTTATTTGCTTTCAAGCCAATCATTACAATATTTCGTCTGAGAACGCAAAGCAGATCTCTGAAGATAATGGTGTTACAGAAGAAAGAAGATGGCGCCCAGCTACCAATCAGCAGCCATCTCAGGGCGGAGTCAATTAAGTCCACACGGAAGAAGCACCCAAGCTTGTGTGATCCAATGATGACAACTACAACACTTCAATACGGTGAGGGGAAAAGCATCGGAGCACTAATGTTCAGACACCCAATTGTGGAGGTTTTAGGGGGATGTGAGAGCCCTAAACCCCTCTGCCAATTACCTGGTCAGAATGAGCCACTGGCAGATCCACTTTAGCCACAGACAAGAGGGAGATCAGCCTTACTGTCAGGCAGAGACCATTGTAATCTTGATTATGTGGGATCGAACTCAACACTTGGCCAGCTGACCAACCTATAGACATGACCTGAATTTGTTCAGGGTGCAAGTATCTCTTACTGGTTCCATGGCAGAAATGCCTTCCCTGGCTTTTTTATTATTGTTAAGGTCTTCTCTTTCTCACACATTATTAGTATTTTTGTCTGAATACTATTGTTTCTACCCTTACCACCTTAGCACGATTTTGTTTGTTATTGTTTTTTGTTGGGTCTCCCAGCTGGGGATATAGGGAATACTGTGGGGTGAGGGGGGCGAGGAGGGAAAGGGGATTTGGAGCATAATCAATGACGATGGGAGTGGGGAGAGAGCACTAGCATGGGTTGTGACTGCATAAATCATGGTGATTTAACCATGGGGGAGAGGGGATAAGCTCTGAAATTGATGTGGGGTTGATTGTACAATTCCCTATGATATGGTTGAATGACTGAACAATTGAATTATGTGATATGTAAATTATTTGCCACTAAAATAGATGTGGGGGGAAAAAAAGAAAGCATGGTTTCTGTAGAGAATTGGGAATGAAACTGCTCTGAACCAAAAGAAGCTTAGCGGCATATGGTTCCTTGTGGCCATGGTGGAGATGCCCAGAGCTCACCAGGTGTGGCTTAGCTTCTCGATCTACAAGCTGGAACTCTTCGACCCCAGTCATCATTCTGTAATTCTCGAGGTTCTGCTGCATTTCCATGTGCTCAGGGTTGGCCAGGAAAAAGGTGTGCGCTGCTTCCACTGCTTTTTCCAGCTGGTTCAGCTGAGGAGGAAAGACAAAATAAATGAAGGCAAATATTTCTAAACCAAGCCCAGCAAAGTCGTAACCATCCCAAGGTCTCACAGCTTGAAAATGGCAAGGTCAGGTTCTCCATTCACATCCACTTAACTGAAGTTCTGTATTAAAGTGTGAGGTGGAGGGCTGGTGGCTCACTGGCTTATGAGCTGGGCTACTAACCTCAAAGTCAGGAGTTTGAAACTACCAGTTGCTCTTAGGGAGAAAGAAGAAGCTTTCTGCTCCCATGAATATTTACCGCCTTAGAAATCCATAGGAGCAGTTCTACTCTAATAGGGCTGCTATGAGTCGAAACTGACTCAATGACAGTGAAGGCTTGTTTTATATATTAAAGTACCAGGAGATTAATCAACAAACAGCCTTACTAACATGGTCTATGGAAACTCTGACGTTGATAAAAATGGATAAAGGAACACCGCTTCAAGGTCCTTCTCTCTTTGCTAATCCATCTAGGTTTCCGGAGGGAGTAAATCTAGATGCTTCTGTTTGTTTTGTTAGTAATAAAAATAATACTGCCAGAACTGTGCCTCCTCCAAAGTAAGTTTTCAATATTTTCATCTTTACTTTTGTGTGTGTGTTCATTTTCCTGTTAATTATAAAAATTGGAGTATAAATAAATCCATGATTTCTCAAAGGATTGGCTATGCTTTTCCCTCCACTATATCTGTGAGGCTTTGGAAAGAATAATACCCAGAGATGAAGGTATTCATTTATTTCAATATCTGCAAAGTGGTGAATGCAGCACATACATTGATGTGCCACCATTCTTTGATTGAGGGATCTGACTCCAAGCTGATGGCCATCATTCTAATTAATGAAACAGGAATGCTTTTTTAAAAAACTACTCAAAATACACTGCAATTCCCCATCTCAGCCACAAAACATTGCTCTCAAATCTAATAAGCAAAGAAGATTTAAAAAAATAAGATTTAAAAAAAATCTTTAAAAAGATCTTTAAAATTCTATTTAAAAATAAAGTTAGATTACCGCAATTTAAAAGAGGTTGACATATGATTCGCCGTGGAGGAGGTCTACAGACAGATGTTTACTCCAAGTCACAAATAATACATAAATCAGTAGCTAGACTGAGAGTTTTTTCACAGTGACCTCCAAAGTATGGTTTCCTTTAAAGTGCAAAAAATGAAAATGTATTCATTTTGAACAATTCAACCTAGTCACAGAACAGATGAGGCTCAGCTAGGTCTATTAAGTAGATTAATAAACAGAAAGAAGCAGGCATAAGAATGGTCCCACCCATCCACCCAAGTCACTACACTTTGGTGACACATAAAAAACTGAGCCCTTAGCACAGAAAAATATAAGCCACCCTATGGGGAGACCCTCCATCTTTAGGATCTCACGTAATAATAAACCCTCTCCCATTTTATTTTAACTCGGCATTAGGCGGTCAATGTTTGGGGACAGATTTGTGAAGGAGTTGAAAAATAGATCACTGGCACACTATGATAAAGTGTCTGGATGTTAATTTTTTCATGTTTTATTAATACTTGGGAATTTTCAGAGCAAGTTGGCTTTCCATTGGATAGCCATGGCGATCATCACAATGTAGCTAACACTCTTCCCATTTCTTCCTTGTGTTTGCTGTTTCTATTAGTCTTTCTTTCCTATCCCTCCCTCACCTTCTGATGGCATGTGATTGCTTGTTCTACTGAGTATTTACCTCCTCCGTGAGATTGTTCATTTTACAGCCTGCATTATTTGACTGAAATTGAGCCATAGGGATAAGTTCAACTCCAGGACTGAAAGGTATCTGAGCTTCATAGATGGGAAAGTCCAGGAGCTTCCATCAGACTAGTTAGGTTGGTTATCTTTAGGGTGCTTGGCTTTGTTCCACGTTTTTCTCCCACTTTATCCAGTATGTCTTATTATGATGCCTTTTAGAGCACACTGCAGTGGTAGCTGGACAGCACCTAGTTTTTGTTGTCTTAGGGTTGTGCAGGCTGGGGTTTATCTGATCCACTAGCCCTTTGGACTAATTGTTTCTGTACATCTTTGATTTTCTCCACTTTTCCTTGCTTTGAATAAAGCATAAAATAAGTATATTTTATATTTATAAATATAAATATTTAGAACTTAAATCTCCATTCACTGTCTACTAACTAAAGTAGGATGCAGAACACTGCTTTTGTCAGCTGTGTTCCCATCAATTACTCTTTGATACAAAGTTCTCTCTTACACACATATGAGTGTCTATGAATTTGCTTGTCTAGTCAACCCGGACTAACACCTTGGGATATATTGTAAATATATATGAGGAGGCATCAAAACATTCATGGAAAAATGCAGTTAATCTATGATAATGACTAAATGACACAAGCCATGGTCCTTTCAATCACCTCATATGTATGTGAAATTTGTATATTGAATAAGGAAAACTGAAGGCTATATGTTTAATTATGGTACTACAGAAAAATATTGAAAGTATCATGACTTGCCAAAAGAACACACAAATCTGGCAAATCTGTCTTGGAAGAAGTGTAACCAGAATGCTCCTTAGAAGCAAGAATGGCAAACTTCATCTCCTGTACTTTGGACAAGGTATCAGGAGATCCCAGTCCCTGGGAAAGGACATCATGCTTGGCAAAGAAGAAAAAGAGTAAGCCTCTTGACAAGATGGATGAACACAGTGACTACAACGATAGGCTTAAACATAAGAACAATTGTGAGGATGGTGAAGCATCAGGCAGTGTTTGTTTTGTTGTATCTGGGGTTGCTATGAGGTGGAACTAACTCAGTGGTACGTAACAACAACAGTGATACTATCAGTAAAATTACGATATGCCCCATGGGGATAATTGATATTTTCTCCAATAAAGTTACTATAATGTATCTATAGCGGACCAGATACAGATATAAACCAGATGGATTAATTGATTTTGAACTCGTACTTGACTATAGTATTAATCCAAGAACAATTAATTATCTTAACATGGAACTACTCAATCCTGTTTTCATGATGAGATAACCAAAGATATGGATGTTATAGCAAAGTGTGGTGAATAAATCAAATGATGTCCGGCTATCAGAAATAATAGTATCTTCAAACAAGTAGTCATCTCAATAAGGTGCCAGCTAAATCCACATAGAAAAAGCATTCCAGTCTGTGTGATCCAAGAATTATAAATAATAAAATCCAAGAGGAGGGAAATCAGAGACGGAACAATATTAAAGCATAAATTCTATATCACCAGTGTGCAGAAGTCTAGGGATGGCAATAAAGGCCCCCAATCCATGAGGGTTAAGCCTTTCTAGAGACTACCCTCTGGTCACTGATCGGGGGTAGGAATAGCTTTACTATAGAGTGCATTGGAAAGTGGATTAACATAGATGTAAATGGTTAAAATTGAACACTGTATCATATGTTCTCCCTTTAAATTTGTACTAGTTTTTAATTATTTTTATCTTATTGATTGAGGTTTTTCTGTTTTATTTTATAAGGGTTGTTGGTTGTTATTAAATGCTTTTCTTTATATAGGTAAATTTACAGAGACAGTAACTGGATTAGGATTTTCTTATAAGTATACCAAACAAAAGTGGTTGGAGGGAATGTGGAGCTAAAAATAATGAGTATAAGAATGAAGAAAATATTCTAAAAGTAATTGTGGTGATGACAGCAGAGCTTTAAAAAATATGTTCGAACCATTGAATTGTATGTTATGTGAATTATTTACCATTGAAACTGTAAAAAAAATTTAAAGAAAAATGGAATTAAAATATAAGGGAAATGCTATAAACTTTTTGAGCCCCTCAAAAATGTTAAAGAATTGAGGTAGAGAATCAAGGAGAAAAAATATTTTCCTCCTAGTGCGTACCTGTGACACTCAGCGTGACCAGAATGCGTGAGAGCACCTGTCTCTCCTCCCATTGCAGTGCTTTATATATGGCATCCAGGACGCAGTTCTACCTGTCTCTGTCCAATGGAGTGTCTGAGGCTGGCTATAGGGGTTATTTCCCCGTGATCCTCAAAAAGCCAAACGTCAACTCACACTTCTTTCATACTTGCATAATATTTTGTTATATGCATCCAAAAGCCATCTCACATTTGCACTGCATATGCAAAGTTTAACACCTGAAATGAGTTGTTGTTATGTTGATTTTGACTCTTATGAACTCATATTTGGACTCATATAGCTGCCCCATGGAGTTTACAAGGCTGTAGTCTTTATGGAAGCAAACTGCTTCATCTTTCTCCCATGGAACACTCGGTGAGTTAGAACCACTTATCTATAGCCATTGAGTACTTAACCACTGTAGAACCAGGTAACCATGTGTCTAGTTTAACATAAAAAATATAAACACACATACTCTCATCCTACATTTAATTTCTGTGTGTGTACCTACAATTGGACTAGTTAGTACATTCATGATGTACATGTAGCAGTAACGTATGTGTGCCAAAGTGAGAGATGAGAGTGACGCTGACTATGGTGATTAAATGTCAGCGTCGCTGGACCATGCATCTCAGTAATTTGACACTTACGTAATGTTAAAACTTTCCAGTTAATGTAACAATGCAGCCATCCTTATTTGTGGTATCCTCCATTTTTGAAAAATATCAATTTTTGCATATGGACCCGGTCTTTGGGACTTATGCATATTGTCTATATGTATGTAGGTGTATACTTATATGTACATGGATATACATGTGTGTGTATATTATTTATCATATAACGAGTGCATATATATAAATGTAATATTTGAAGGAGCTTCAAAATGTTTATGAAACTGAGCCCCCTTACATACGTGTTATATAAATATGATAGAAACTATGTTCAGTGAGCTAAACTGAGCTCAGAAGATTTTAATTTCCCTACAATTATACTCCTTAAACCAAACAAAATTGTTCCAATTTCTTTGTTTATAAACTCCTAAATTGGAAGAGGCCCTGCAGATCCATCATTTAATCCAACTCCCATACTTAAATAAATTAGGATGCTAGCACTTTA